CGCTCTGAGCGGCTCCCGGGGCGCGCAGGGGGAGCGGCGTTCCGCCCCGCGAGCCGTCTCCTCGGCGCCGGCCTGCTCTCGGTCGCCGCGCTGCTCCGAGGCCCGCCCCGGGGAGGGGCTTTCCCGCGGCGCCCCGGCCGCGCTGCGCTGCCGCACGTCCGCGAGTCCCCGCTGCTCTTCCTCGCCGTGGCAGCGGCCTTGCCGGAGCCGGAGCCCCGCGGCAGGTCGCAGGTGAGCCGAGCCCCAGCCTCCGGCCGGCGGGGCGACACCGGCCCGACGCAGCCACCCGGCGGGGGTCCCGTCCGCGGGGAGGCGGGGGCGAACCGGGGCGGGCAGAGCTCCTCGTTCGTGGCTCTGTCCAAGGTCTCTTGGAATCGCTTCTCCTCCAGAGCGCTGGGCCAGCGCCTCGATGCTTTCGTTCTTTCCTAGATAACTTCAGTTATTTTCTGGTCAGATGTGGAGCTCCTCCTGTGGCTCCGCTCGGCTTTTTCATCACTCCTTGGATGGACAAGTGACAGTCAGCTCCCTCTTACGGTCGAGACAAAAGACTGTTTTTTAATGTGGTTGTAGAGGGAGTTCTGTCAGTCTGGCAGGTTCAGCAAATGCTGCACCTCGTTGTTTTGTGCTGTCTTTGCAGAATTTTGACCTTGAAGTAGAAAGGCCTCTGGGGCAGAAAACGTCAAACTACGGAAACAGCTGGACATTATTTTCTATTTTTTTTTTCCCTAGGATCCATTCAGTTGTAGAACTTCTAACATTTAAGTGACATCTCAGTGGAGGGAATGCAGTTTGCTTTGATGCTGGCAGGATACAAAACGAGTTACATGCAGCTTTCTGGTGTCAGATAATTGTAGTGTCCTTTTGGAAGGAATGAGGGGATGAGAATCTTCCTCTTAACATGAAGGTGTTTAGGCTTGTGGCTCATGTGATTTGCATGTCAAATTCAGTCAGCTGTATGCTTTGGAAGCCTTCAGCAAGGTTTGGAAGTTGCCGCTTTGCGCACAGAGACTTAGCACAGCTATTCAGAGGGTTGGAGTGTGGCAGGCATGCTCAGGCTGCCCGACTGGGAGCATGGAGGAAGGAGGGAATAGACTTTGAGAGCCTTGATCTTGGAGCAGTCTTTTCCATCTTCCCCTTGTCCGGTACTTCAGCCTTATCTTCTGTATGTAAGTGCTGTAAAGAGCTGAGTGTTTGTACTGTAACAAAACCTTCTTGAAAGTAAATGCATTTTTTTCAGGGAAAATGTGCCAAATTTGGTCCTAGAAACAAGCCATACATCAGGATCATGAATTAAAGTATTACCTTATTAGATGATTTGTTTTTATTTATAACTCCATCCCAATGCAAGCTGGAATGCCTACTGCTTCAAGTCCACATCCAGATTTGCATCTTTACTGTCTTTTGAAGTTGAGAGGATGAGGATGGGAGAACAAATAGTTTGCCCTAATTACCTCATATAAAGTTAAGCATCTTCAAGCATGCAAAAGCCTTCCTTTCCTTAACTGTTTTTTGGGTTTTTTAAAGTGAAACTAAAATCATTATTGGGTTTCATCCCTTCTGGGTGACTGTCAAGTTTGGCATGCAGGCAGGTAGAATGAAACTAAAGTTCTTTGTCAGTTCTGTTGAAAGAACACTGGCTTGATTAATTTGTTTAACTTTGAAAAAATGTAAGCCATTTTATTCTGACAAAGTTTTGAATCTTAGCACTGGTTTCTGTGACTATTAAAAAATACAAGTTAATGAACACAATTGAAGTTAAATTTGTACGGACTAGAGAGGATTTATAAGAATTACCAAATTAAAAAAAAATAGATTACTTCCAAGAAGGGAATATACTAAAATCTGAATTTTGCTTTATATTCTTAAGGTAGTACACAGACAAAGGAAGAATCCAAATACAACTGAAGACCATGGCAACACACTGGAGAAGAATCCTGACAGTATTTGTGATAGCTCAAGTACTATTTGTGGTAAATGCTTTTGAGGAAGAGGATGTACCCGAGGAATGGATTCTTCTTCATGTTGTCCAAGGTCAGATTGGAGCAGGAAACTACAGCTATTTGAGACTAAATCATGAGGGAAAGATTGTTCTTCAGATGCAGAGTTTAAAAGGTGACGCAGACTTGTACGTGTCTGATGTGACACTTCACCCCAGCTTTGACGAGTACGAGTTACAGTCTGTGACTTGTGGCCAGGACATTGTCCACGTGCCTGCACACTTTCGCCGCCCTGTGGGAATAGGGATTTATGGCCACCCCTCTCACCTGGAGAGCGAGTTTGAAATGAAGGTGTACTACGATCGAACAGTTGTACAGTACCCATTTGGAGAGGCTTCTTACAACCCTGAGGAGATGGAGGCAAACCAGAAATACTCACAGTCTACAGAAGATGAATCTCAGGATGAGGAGTCTGTTTTCTGGACTATACTTATTGGAATCTTGAAATTAATACTTGAAATCCTTTTTTAAATTGATACACACTGGACTTAAGTCACACTTTATCCTGTGAAATTGGTATGAATGAATTGCTGTAATGCTCACTATGTTTCCTGAAGAGATATCCAGGTTACATTTCCAAAACCAGAAAGGAAGTGGGGAGAAAAAGCCATATTTAATTTTTTTTATTGTAATTCCTCCCCAATATGTAAAATGAGCAACCAGGACAGTATTTGCAGTGCTCTTCAGAGATCAGGGCTTAAAAATGAATGTATGGTTGGGATCTTGTTAAATTCCCTTAAAATAGGTGCTTAGGAAAATCAATTCCAATTCAGTATTTTCTATTGTTTTTTTATAAAGAAAAATGAATAAACAACTGCACTTCAGCCCCCCTGTCAATTTCGAGCATATTTAAAAATAAAACCTGCTTGTTTTCTGAGCAAGCATCTTCAGTAAAACTGATCAGCAACATGTTTGAGTGTATTCATGAAGTTGAGGAGCTAGCTTAGGGTGAAGGAAGGAGAAAACAATCAGCCACGTAAGGTAATAGATAGCCTGTTATTTTGACTGTGTGTGCTCTACATCACATCAGCCATCTGTCAAGCAGAGGTTGGTCCAGTCACTCATCACCACTACAAATTCATGACCTGAATCAAGTGCATGTTGCTTCTTTGCTATTAGTGCAGGGGGAGGGAGCCTTCAGCTGTTGTTACTTGTCAATATGACATTTTCATCTCATTAAAAACAACGCAGCATATAGGTATCTCAAACTTGAGAGGTGCTTTCTTACACTTCCCTTGATAGCTTTTTGTGGGGTTTTTTCCAAGCACATATTTATGAATAAGGCTTGCACAGAAAGTTTCTGCTGAAAGGGATTTGCAGTATCTTGTAAGAAGGTAATCTCATACCTACTATTCCTTAGAAGTTACTTTTACCAGGAATACTTTTTGCTTTGGTTATTTCAGAATAATCAGTTGCTATGCAGATAAAGTACATTAAATTGCTCTGTAATTTTCTTTTCACAGAGCTTACTGATAAGTGCACTGAAATAAAAAAGTATGTTGCTATAATTTTATACAAATGCATGTATAATTTAAATTTCATTACCGAAAAACTTTTCTTTTTTGAGTGGTAATTTGGCTTGCCTCTCTCAACACCTGACAGGACATTAGTGACTTGTATCACAAAAAATCACTATATAGACAAAGTTTATTTAGTAAAAAGAAAAAAGTGGTATTGCTCCTCTTATAGAGTGGTTGATTAAATAGCACCAGAGTATCACTTTAATTTGTGCAGTTAAGTTTTGGACAGCAAGTGTTTGGGGCTTTCTTAGCCCTCCTTGCTGTTTTTCCCCCTTCTTCCTCCTCTTCTGGGTACAGGAGGGTCTTTCTGACAACAATCACAAATCCAGCGACCTAAGAAAAGAAAGTTATCAATTATTGGGAAACTAAGTTTGTTACTATCTTACCTATTTAGGCAGCCCTTCACCATTCTGTTAGGTGCTTATCTATTTGCAGTATTTCCTTTAATGTGAACAACAAATGCTTTTAAAATTGAGCATCTTTTCTGTAAAGCAGCACATACAATTCATGCTCCCTTGCAGACTCATCATGTGTAACCACTGGCTACACCAATCTTCATGGACCTCAAGAAGTGCCAAGGAGGTGGTTATTAGGTAAGAGCTTTACAAACAGTGCTCGAGTTTGCCAGTCATATTTTTAGGTGAATGACTACAGTTCAAGGTTGTGAAGTTACCCAGTGCAGAAATCAATGGCAGCTGGGGAAGCATTTAACTTTTTATTACAACAGCTGGAATCAAAGGCTGTTTTGGTAATTTTGTAGATTTGTAGATATATAATCTATTTTGATTATATTCTTAGGTCAGCCTCAAAGTGAAATCAGCCACAGAACCTGTAGGAAAGTGACAGCTAGCTGGAGTGCTTCCCAAAATGGGGCAGTTCAGTGTGTTTTAAGTACTGTCAGGGAATACTGTCACTACCACTGAATACGTATTCATGAACTTACCATGAACATAGAATTACATGTAAAGCAACAGTACCACCTGCTATTTTCTTTCTACTGCCCCGAGTTGGCCACATGATGAGTGACTTGACAATTGAAAGCTACCGGCTTGCCTACCTACCTATGGAGATACTTATGTTGCAGTTTTGATGTTTAAGAATAAAAAAGGGAATGAAAGGGTTTAAAGAGATATTTACAAATATTAAATTGAGATTACTATTTCTTTTAAAAGTTAAAACAGCACAATTAATGTGAAAGCTATACTCTAGCAATATGCAGCAATACAGTTTCTTTTACAGGTTTCTTCAATGAAAAGAGGTAATTATTGTCAGTATTCTGTGGATATGGAGAAAGCATAGTTCTGAGTGAGCCTGTTTGGGTTATGCTGTAAAAGCCAATTATATTTCCTGCACAGGAATTGCGAGGTTTAACTCTGCACAACCAAATATACAGAAATAAAGCTTAGTAAAAAAATTGGGTCCTGTAGTGTGAATGCTTTCCTATAGTGTTTCTTACCCTTCACACTTGTTTTAAACTATTCTTTCAAAAGAATATGTATTAATTCATTGTTCATGTATTAACTCTGAGAATCAGCCCAGGACTCAGAGGAAGTGGGAAGGGAACAAGTAACTCTTACTTTATTACCTGAAGGGATAGCATCAAGCCCCACACAAAAAGTGTGATAACCACGGTCACATACATCACAGAACATCATTTCTTCTTCATGGTGAGGCTGCCCACATATAATGCACGTTTTACACTCCATACATTGCCAAGGGTAAGTCTTAATCATAGCAACAAGCTCCGGGGTCATATCAAGGCAAGAAGGGTGGCCTAGATTAAAATCAGTATTATTACTTTTATGCCTGAAATGAAATTTAAAAGTAGTTAGACTGTTTACTTTTACCAAATATGAAGCTTAGCTCACCTCCTGGTGAGATCCCACATTGTGAGCACAGAGAACACGAAAGAGAGATAGGGTTGTAACAAAGGAAAGAAAAGGCAACTGAACTTTTGCTACACATGGAGTACACTAAATATGTTCACAAACAGATCTGGATCCTAGGAATCGACTTAGTGGATGTAGATACTCACCACTGTTGTCACACTGGGAGCAATGTATAAGAGCTTCAGGTTTTCCTTTCTTGTTGGACTCCTTACCCTTCAGACAAATTCCACATATAGCATTTGGAATGACCTTTGGCTGGAAGGGTAGAAGAGGGCTATAAATTCATTCCAGAAGAATTTACAGATTCAACAGGAAATGTCATCTATCTCCTTAACTATTAAAATCAATAAACTATGTCAGGATGTGCGAACCCTAAAACATGTGACAATCAATGACAAGCAGCAGCACTGAAAAAATCATAGATTTAACTACATGAAATTTTGCATTTGTCATATATAGTGAGTTATATGTAAATCCAATTGGATCAAAAGCACGTACTTGCCTCTTCCTATTAATTCATCAGCTAACGTTCTTCTCATGGCAAACTAAATGAGACATAGGGTGAAAAATTTCAGGAAGATTCTTCCAATATAGAATACTCTTTATGAACTTCTGTATGGATTTCCTGTTTATGAAGGAAATATATATATTTTTTGCATTACATTTGTCCCTATATATAGAAAATTGATTATAAAAGCAATAAACTTGATATTTTCCATCTTCAGTTTCAAATTATCTGGTTAGTTATGCAGGGCTGTATTTCTTTTACCGTTCCTTCTTGTATCAAGTCATAATCATTTAAGAAACAAAAGCCTTGCATTTGACTAGAGATTTGCATTTATAATTTTTCTAAGTTATCATCTAGAGTGTGTCTGGGTCCATGAGATCCATTTAAAGGGTAAGGGAAATAGTAGGCTGTTCAAATGTGGAATATCTGCCTAGGTATTCTGTGTGTCAACTCTGTAGCTACAACAAGAGTTTCATCCTGATGAGGCCTGAGGAAGAATTACAGCATTCTGAATTTCAGAAACATGGCAGTAGTTACATTGTTGAGCTTTGACTGCTGCATAATGAAATTAGTGAGAAATGTAGTCTACAATTAAAGTAGTACTCACTGATGTTAAACTGACTAGTGCCAGTTTTAAAAAACAGTGTTTCTGCAAAGACCCAGCTAGCAGAGGGAGCTGAAGGCTCTAAAAAGCTTGTCAATAAGAATACCAGTCAACTACCAACCACTCACAGGGAGAAGAATGAGGTTTAATTTTACAACAAATTTAAAAAGTGAAAACACTAATTAAATAAATAAAATAAAATTACAAAGATCTTTTGCAATACAATTTAGCTTCAAGTGTGTTTATTTCCCCAGGCAGTTTTTGACAGCACCTAGCAAGGTAATTAGTATTTTGATTCATTTTTAAAGTATCAGGATGCATTGCTTTAAGTTTTCTGAAGTTTTCAATGTGCTTTTCATGTCAAAACATGGCTACAGCCCGCTTCAAATTGTTCGGTCTAAGGAGTTTTATTCAAGAAAGCAAAACACCACACCAAATATTTAGAGGTAACTTCCTTCAAAAGATGACAGAGGCATTCAAAGACATTTTTTGCTTATTTATTTTAAAAAAGCAAAGTCAACCTGTTTTATACATAAATATAATAAAACAGTAAAAGAAGTCTAGCACACAAACATCTCTACAAAATAATAAATATAATGGAAGGAAAACCACACATAAACTCTTTTACTGTTAACTATACTACGTGTCCTACATGTATACCTTTATACCCTGCTCCTCTCAACAAAAGTGGCACATGCTTAAACCTTGTCAGTGTGGCAGCATTTACCCTTCCATTGTTTAGGCTATTTTTTATTTTTAAATTGTACTGTCATCTAAGAATCCCAGCCTTTCTAGAATAGCAAGCAAATTTTTCTAATCAGACTTCTGGCTTGTTACAGATATGTATTTTAGTCCCTTTAATACAAAACAACACACTCCCCAGTACTCCAGCCAAAGTGAGTTGCTTTTTGGACACATCCAGGCATTATAGGTGTGCGCAGTTCACATTCTGATACACATAAGTCTCAAGGTAGACATTGTTACAGATGCATTTATTAACAATGCTGCCATCTAGTCTTAGTTCACTAACCTGTTTTCATTAGAAACAGTGCATATTGAGCGGGGGGTGAGAATCACAGTCTTTTAAGAATGAAGTTCCAACAGTATGGAAGTATTTTTACAAAAACAAAACAAAAATTTTTTTTTTAAAAATCAAGATTATTCACATTTTAATCCAGTTCCATTCTACCACCATAAATGGCTTTTAGAAATACTATTAAAAATCTGTCAATTCCAAATGGGAAGTCACAATATCCCATCTAATTAGAAGTAAATTTTGCTTTCTATATCCCCATCTCATTGGGATAAGATACAAGAGAAAATAAATGCAGGGTCAAAATGACGACTGTGCTGTGTAGGTTTTCAGTTCCATGCTGCTGCACTGCAGCTCTCAAAGTAAGCTTTCCAACTACACCATTTTTATAACATCCTATTCTGAATGCAAAGTGTTACATTTTCATATACAGTGACCCAAAACAGAAGTGTTGCAAAATAAAGATACTGAATACATTTCAGTTTTATGTGCAAAAAAATCTCTTGTACTTTTAACAGTACCCTGTGTGTGCAATTGTAGCAGTCAGTTCTGCAGCAACAGACTCACTACTTGTAACATGACAAAATGTAAAATACATGCTAATCGTTCTTTGTTAAAGAACTGACAATAAAAAAGACGCCATATAATATACAGTATTTCTTTTACTTGAAAATAACTCAGTGGAAATGTATGGAATCCTGTAATACTCATAACGTGGCTATACATGTATATATGCTGATGCCATAGCAATTATCCCTCAATTTTAACTACATGTAACCAAAAGATTAGTGTTCTACAAAAATAGTCCAATATTAGAGAATAATATAGAACAAAAGTATTATAAAGATTTCACAGGGAAAACATTTTGAGTCAGTTAAGCCTTCGGCTCAAAGTGCCTTAACATGTAGGCACATATGTTAGGTATATTGTTATCTGATGTTTTCATAGACTCACAAACAAGAATCATTCCGTCTTGCCAGTTAAAACAGCTCATGTAATTTGTCTTATTGCAGTATTTCAAACGTTCCCACAAACAAGAAAGCCAATCCTCTCACCCTCCTAACACATCACCATCCCTGACCTAGCAACAGCTGGATGGTTGATGCAGGCAATCAGTGCCACATCTTTACAATTTGACATTGTAAAGATGTGGCACTGCAAGTTATAGTAAGACCTTGTTAGTGTCAGAATCAGTGATTTTGACCCAGTAAGTAATTGCTGTGGGAATCCGTTTTCAAAATGCAGTGCTGTATACTACTATGGCTCTTCTACAATTTTAAGTTCCAACCAAAGTTCTGCTCCACCAGTTCTCTCTCAATGCATTCATAATTCATATGGCCATTAAATAGATTCAACTAACCAAACACTTGGGCATCTTGCAGGTAAGTGAAGCTTCTGTAAACTAGTGGCACACAATTTCTAATGTCAAGTTAAACAAAGTTAAAGCAAAATTTCAGCCTTCATCTTTGGATTTCATGTTCATGGGAATACTGAAATGCATTCTATTATCTACAACTTCTTGCAAAGTTACATATAAAAATATATATATATGTGGTAATCACATTCTAAATCTACACAGTTCACACATTTCCTAATAAATTCCTCAAAACAGAAAATGCAACTGGAGCTTGCTGTCTGTTATGAACTTGTACAGATACTGTATGTAGAGGAAATTTATCAAAGCTGTCCAATTGTTGCTGGCAATTAGCTTCGTATTGTAAGTTATAGTTTATTTACTATTAACTTGGTAAACAGAGATAGTAAATATTTATAAACATAGAATGCAAGCCATCAACAGCTCACTTTTGCTGACACAGATTCTCAGTATATACAAACTTGTCACTGACAAAAACGTTCCCTGTCCCGTAATTGCCAATAAGCATTCCTGACTGGTTAACACTCAACCCTATCTTAACTTAGTGTTTTCCCTCTTTAAAGATCTATTCCTGCTCCCATTTTAGTCAATGGAAAATTCTCATTCCCCTCAGCGGAACAGGACTAGACAATTACCTGCTTTATATGTGTTACAGTTTATTCAGATTCTCTCTCAGTATGCAGAATAGTAACATCTAAACAATGCATGTCAATTCCCACTTCTTCTGAAAAGTATTTTTATAATAACTCTTGAAATTATTATATAGAAATACTGAAGACTGGGGTCTTAGATTCGGCAATCACTACGTGATAGCTGAAATGCCTTAACATCCTCACCAAGTTTCTAGTTTAGATAAAAGCATATTGCCACAAACGTACTACATGGTATGAACTACACAAAAAGCTATTTTCCAAATACTATTACAGGAGTTACATAGTGTGGCCTATACAGCTGTAGTAAGCTTTTTGCCTTCCATCCTATACATCATAACATCGCAGGATAAAAGGCTGTATTTAAAATTAATGTTGTAACAATATGCTCAGCCACACAGCTGCACTTTATAGGACTGATCTCTTGGTATGCTGCCATACAAATAGGAAAAAAAGTAACAGTGAATGCTAGCTTCAAACTGGCACATATTTCTGACTGCTATGTTAAAGCAGACAGAAAGATGTTGAGTTCCAATGATAAATCCACAATGGATTCTTCTAGCGTTACTGCCTATGAATCTAAGAAGTTAACCCAACAGGAGGCCACTGTACAGCCAGGGTAAAGAAAAGCCCCACGCAAAATACAAGCAAAAAGGAAATAAGGAAGCAAACAGATGGAGCACACAACAGGAGAACAGCTAGTGAAGTACAGCAAGCAGAAGTTCCACATTATTAAAAAAACCAAATACTTCAGGAAGAAGATGGTGAGTAAAATTCAGTCAGGGGCTTTTTTCTTCTACCTTGTACCCAGGAACTGATTTGGGTAATACAGAACGTTTGGAACCATCTTTTCTTGGAGTAGCACTTTTGTCTCTTGTTTTTTGTCTTCCCTGAAAAGAATCCTCCTGGTTGTCTGTGACGCAATCACCTTCAGATACATTGCCAGATGAATTGTCCTATAATAAAAATACCATAGCTATATTTTTTTTTTTTTGATAGACAGACAAGTCTTTCCTATGCCCCTTAGAGTCAACTAAGGTAAGAGAAGGATATGTCATTCCTTCTGCAAGAGCATGGGGTTTATCACAATCTAGAACACCATTGTTCACAACACTCATCATCTGTTTTTTCTAGTTTAAGAGACTGGCATCAGCAGTCATATTTTTGCAGTTGGTCTTGGTACCAGTGTGAGGAGCACAACACTGTAATTCTCTGAAGTGTTTTCATTAGAAGTCAGCAAGAAATCAACTAAATGTAATATGCTGTTTACAACGTAAAGGGCCAGCAAAACGTTAAAAGTGCCCTTGTCATACATTTAAAGCATACAAGTACTGCCATGAATTAAACACATGAAGGTTTTTTTCTGCCACCCTCACCTACTGTTTTCACCAGGAGCACTCTAAGTATTTAATTTGGACTGCAGCAGAAGAATACCATCAATGGCAGAACATACTTCCATATTTAATACAGGACCAAACAACAGAATTTATTTTGCAGTAAAAGCTTTTTGCTTTTTTTTTTTTTTGAGGAATAAGGAGGCAAGAAAGAGGGGAAGAGGTTCAAAGATGGTGAAAGATCAATGTAGGCATAATTAAGAGCAGCAGCACAAGACTTTTCTCAGAAAAGTGTTAATAAAGGCTTCCAAAAAGCTCCAGAAGGAAGCAGTGTGATTACTCACATTTATTACAATAAAACCAAGAGGCCAAATAACAATGGTCCCCTACATTAAAACATACTCTGTAAAAACAGAATAGTAATCAGCCTGTGCCCTAGGATCTGAAATCAAAACAGACAAAACAGACATAGAGCAAATGGCGGAGTGTAACACAAAAGCAGATCGAACTATGTGGCAACAAGAAATGGTATATTTCACCAATATTTTAGGGGAAGGGTTATTTAGGTCAGACCCACTAAAACACTACAGAAAACTGCTACCAAATCCAACAATGGAGCAGGAGGAGGTGTGAAAAAGGAGAAGTTATAAAGCATATTATGGCATTCACCAGGGAGATCTGACAAATGGTAGTAGGTAGTAGTCCAAATCTGACCATGTCCCATCTCTGTGGTTTTTTCTGAACTATATGCCCCCCTCAATGACTACCTAGCTAAGAACCCCTGATCCCATAGCCAAAACCACTTCAGAGTAATCTAATTATCAATCTTCCATACTTCTCTATGCTATTCAAACTCAGAGACATTTTTCCTTCTGCATTCTGTCACAAAAAAAAAAAAGATTTCTGAGCCTCTGTGAAAAATCAAAAGGATAGTCTGCTTGGTACAGTTACTTTTCTTTACCATTAATGAGATTGGAAGTCAATGGAAAAGGAAACTGGGAAAAAATGGTTAAAGACCAAATGACCAACTGTAAAAAAGCTGTAGTGTGATTAAACCGAAAATCTGAGCTGACATTTAGCATGCTATGCTTATATGATTTCTTCTTCTTAAAAAAAATGCAAGCAGAAACAGTATATTAAACACCTCTCCTTCCTTTTGTTAACCTACAAGCTGACCTTTTCCTTTTTTCAATTATAAGTATCTTAAAAAATTCAAAGATCAATATTTACATGACAAAATTTAGAACTGTACATACCCACTGTCAAACATGTTCACCAATCATGCTAGAAATTGCTAAATGCACTGTGACATTGCACTGCTGTTAAAATTAACGTTAAACTTCTGGAAAGAGATTGTCACCAACATACAAACTGTACCAATACAACAACAGTACTTAGCTAATTTGAATCTCAGCTGGCTCTTGAGCATTTAAAGCACTATCAAGGAACATACCTGAAAGGTTCCTTTAAGTTTCAGCTAGCAGTTAATTTTGAATTTGCATAAGTGGAGAGAACATAAATATTTTTTTAAAGATGTATTGTAAAGTAAAAAAACACAGTGCTTTCTACCTTCTTTTAAAATTGGAATGAAGTTACTGTTTCTATACTTAGCACTTGCTGCTTCCACAGCACAAAAAAAAAAGTTATGAGGTTATCAGCACCTTTGTTCTGGGGACAGATTCTGTGGGACTTCCAACAGCAAAATATATTTTGACCTGAACTATAATACTCACTCCCCTCAGAAATGCCAGCAACTTCCCCTTGGGAAAAAGGCTATAATGAAGAGCTGCATTGGGAAGTGTCTTCAAAATTTCTTTAAACAAAACAAAACAAAGAAAATTTTAAAAAAGGAAGAAAAGGCCTGAAATGTCAAACATCTGTTCACCTTACTCTGAAAATGGACCAAAACCAGAAAGCAATAGAGAGCAATGTTATAAAATAAACAGAAGTACTAAAAAAAGTCTTCCCTTCATTTTGCAAATATTAAAAGATTCTAAGAAACTAATTAACCTAACAAAAGTCAAGGAACAGGATTTTTTTGTTCAAGAATACTTTCAATTTGTCTCACCGAATTGCCTTTGGTTTTTCTTTTTTCATCACCTCGCCCTTCTTCTGCATCATCTGAATCTCCATCACTGTCCAGTGTAAGCAGCTCCGGATCCAAAGGAGGTTCATAAAGAGCTGTGTTTAACGGCAAGTAACGAAGTTCATCTGGAGAATATCTGAAGTTAAATAAAATGCATTCATTCATGTGTACTTTATGCATAAGTATTAAGTCATACAGTACACAGGGACTTTAATAGGAAACAGTTTCCTTTTTTCAGGAAGGCAGATAAAAACATACAGTTCTGAAAACAAAGGAAACACACTCTCCTCCCAAATGCGATGCCATGTATACTACTTGTCTTCTTTGTAGAGCAGACACCCATGGAACATAATTTGCTAAGTTTTACCCAATCCATGTTACTATGCCAAACAGACCATACACTTTTTTAATCAATGTACAGTGCCCCACTAACCCAGAGCACACAAACATGTCCAAAGCAAACAACAGAGCTGTTTAGCTGATTACTGAGAACAAAAAAATGCAAGAAAAGAAGAAAATGTAATTTCGGATGAATGTAAAGGTGTAGTCTCACTGCTTATAGCCAGATACAGCTCAACATGCATAATCTACCCTTATTTTTAACCTTAAACACTAAGAAAAAAGTGGAAGTCTTCTGACTGCTGAGGACAAGCATTGTAAGGAACAAGATACTATTGTGCTGCATATTACGAAAGGTCATGTCCTTCACTGAGATGGAAAAGCAGTTTCACTAGCAGCTTACAAGTGCAAAATAAGCATAACATGAAGTAATTTTAAGTCAATTGATTTAATAAAATTGAAGTCCTTTAGGAACATCCTGTAACATGCAAATTTGGGGTGGGCGTATGAACACGCACTAGAAGGAGCCAGGCACATGCAGAGGAAGAGCTTCTCTACAGAAAACCAAGCACATATAGCATGAATACCATCTCTATTGTACAACAATAAGACTTCAGAAAAATCTTCAAATCTTTACAGATTTGTTCAATGGTAGCATGCTGCTAGTAAAATCTTAAATTTAGGTCAACAGTCAAGTAACATGTTTTTCATGAAATGTCAAGGTCCAGTTTGCAATGTCTTTTTCTCTCACTTACAAATCCACCATCAAACTTAAACCACAAGACCAAACTATTAAAGAGTTTCTAAAAATTGAAAATAGAGCAGCAAGACTCGTGATCAGAAGCCAGCATAACAACACTTTGATACAAAAACATTAATTTTAGCACACATGCAGAGGTAGGTAAGTAAACAGGAGGGTGGCAGGAGTGAAATCAATGTCCCTTTTTACCGTGGTAAATACCTGAGCAGGCCACATCTCAGGCACTGCAATAGATCAGCAGAGACAGTGCTCTTGCAGTCAGTACTGTTTTCTTAACAACAGCTGTCACACTATGCATCTTTGAAGACTATCAAGTGTCTAAAATTAAAATTAATTTGAAACCTTAAAGCAAAGACAGTGAAATGTTTTCCACCTGCTAGATGGAGACAAAAGAGATCAGTGCAACAGAATTGGCAGTTGGAATGCTTTTAAAATACCTTTTGTAGTACTCCTGGAACTGGCCGGGTATGAGAGCCACTGGATAAGGACTAACCTTTGTTCTCTCTGTAGGCAAGACTTTGTATTTTCCTTGAGGCACCTGGATAATCTACATTGTTTAATATAAAACAATGACATTTTTGTTTCACATACAAACAGTTAAGCCTTCCTCACCAAATACTCCTCCAAGTATTTTTTTAACTTGCCAGTTTTACTGAACTGGATCATCTACCGGAGTTCTCCCACGAGAAATCCAATGCATTAAAATTCTAAGACATACCAAAACAGTATCATGGATTAAATCCAATCCCTAAGTATCTAGTGGATTGAACAAAGATTAAGTAAGACCTCTTTAAACAGTACACTATGAAAAATAATATTGAAATTAAAATCTAGCAATTGAAACAGTAAACATTGACCTTTGTAACTGGCATCTTTAGCAAGAACTATCACTGTTGTTCCATATTGCTTTAGAGTAGAAAGAACGTATTAACCTATTTCTGAAACCAATCTGTACTATAAAAAAATCCATTAATAATACAAATACATAATACAATGGAAAGGAGAAGCTTACACAATAAGCCTTCTTTTCTTGCAAGGATATAGAAGTAATTATCCACTATCTTGTCTCTAACAACATGGTCAATACCAGAAAAATGAAAACTTTCCATAATTGTCTGCCATGTAACAATTTGCAGAGAAAATTTTTGCTTTACTGCCTTTATAGAAGCAGAACAGCACTGCTTCAAAATGCCAGATAATTTTTTTTTGATCAAGCACAGAGGCATTTAACATATGCAATACAAAAATAATGTAACACCCAACAAAAAGCAAGGGCATAGTATCGACAAGCACACTTTTAGGTGTAGAATAGTTTTCTTTTTTACTTCAGGTATTGTCAGGCAAAATTTTGAAGGTATTCAAAAGAAGAATTAGCCATTTACATGAATAAACAACAGTCTCAGTTTTATACCACCGCTATCAGAATAAAGACATGATAACAAAATAACAGTGAGATTTTTAGAGCTTTCTGAGACAAGTATTTTCAAGTTTAAAAAGTCTACAGGTTAAATATATTTAGATTATTATTTTTAGCAGTATTGCCCATTAATCACCCCCCTGAAAATAGTTAAAATGGTAACAAAACCAACTTCACTAAAACAAGTAAGGAGCTCCTTCCTCACAATTGGTAAGAAATTTAAATCTACCTACATGTGTCTGTAAATCAAAATAGGCTCTTCTTTCTTCCATCCGCTCTCGGTTTAAATTGCTGTTGAATTCTGCAGCTTTCTTGGCAGCTTTTTTAATATATTCTGGAACTTTACTGGCTTCTACCTTCTGTGTATTCTGCTGCTGCATTTGCTGGAATAAAAACAATTATATTAATTCACATACATTTGACTATCAGTTCGAGAAGAACCTTTTCTCACACTCCCATTGCAGATTTGGTTCACTTAAGTGGTAATTACTTACAGAATACTCTTTGTAATGATCTGTTATTCGCTGCCGTTCTTTCTCTTGCAGTATAACAGAATACTCAGCATGTTTGGCAGGGTATTCTTTAATCATAAGATCAATTACTTCATCACTACGCAAAGCTGTTAGACCTAAAATAAATAAAGTAGTAATGATGCTATCTGGCAAAAAAGTAACTGTAGGTTATTTATATCTCACAATGACCAACTCAAAGTTTTTGAGTATCTAAAGACAACAACCTGCTGTGCACAAGCTTTTCTTTTCCAAGTAGCAGCAAACTTGTGCCATTTAGCTTTCAAGGCTGACTAGGACTTTGTGTGTACCCAAGGCTCGTGTCATTACTTACAGCTACAGACCCCTTCACATTGACTCAATCACCTACTTAAACTCACTGGTGAGGCAGAACCTTTGTTTTAGGTGGGACCTCGTGTACTGTTAGTTTCAGTTTCCAGTGCTGCTGAGGCTTCATTACCCTGAAATTTTGTTTACTGAAATTAAGAGGTTTACATAAAGTCTTAATACAAATCAGGAAGAATCATTAGGAGAGCAATTCAGAGCAGCAAGCTGCACATAAGACTCCTGACTCCCAATTAAAGCATTTAATGCTCAGAAGTCAGAATGCCTCCGTTTGCAGCTACAATGCAGATCTCCTTCCCTGAAAGTTCCAACACAACTAATCTCCAGACATGGACAATAACATAGAATGATTTATGTCACTACCACTGATTATCATTTTAAAAACAGGGGAAGTTAGCACACATCTCTAATGAATAGATAAGGTAACATTTTACCTCCATATATAAAAATTACATACGGTTCTCTTATGCATAGTTAAGTTAAAAAAAATAGACAGCTCATAGGTGAGAAATAAAGATGGTATACTAAAGACTGTTAGCATATAAAATGACATTACATTTTCACAGACCCATGATACACAGAAAAAAACCCATGGCAGCATAATTTAAACTCTAACATGTCCAAATCACATACATCAGAAGAGCAAGAAAAAAAAAAACCCTTCAATATAAGCCTCAGAAATTACATCAATTCATTTCAAGTATATTCAAGTGATGTAAAACACACTCTTCTAATTTCTAACATAGAAGTTGAACCATTTAAGATACAGTGATGTCTGCTGGCCTCCAATGCAATGCAGCAAAATAAGACTAACATATATAGACACCCTGTATATATATATGCAATATATACCACCATGCATATATGTACATATAATGTATATATATGAGACCACACTATTATGGTGGTCTCTTTTCTAAGAGAAAAAGGTTCTACAAGTTAATTTAGAATACAGCAAAATCCCCTCTAAGTAATTAGAATACATCCAGAATATATTTGTTAATAATATGTCTGGAATACTGAAACATTATGGCCAATTTACTAAGCCAAAAAACCCCCAGTTTTAATTTCAGAACTTTTGTTTCCAGTTGAGAGGGATGCAATTCTTTTCTAGCAAACTGAACCCCCCTTTTCAGAGTGCCATATTTTTTATACTGTAATAAGAAGTCCAACAACTTGTTTTCTTACCTAGTGTGCATTGAGTCTCTGTGATAACATTTAGTTCTCTGAGGTAGAGTTTCTCCTTGTGAGATAAATCTCGCCTTTCTAAATCTCAAAAAAAAAAACCAAAAAAAAACCAAAAAAGAAGAAATAAAAATGTGTGCAGTAACTGAAACCCCCCCATAAATACTGTCAAAGTATTTCAACAGTTTTGTTTCCAGGCAGCTAGAGCCTGTATTATATTGCTGTTCCAAAAAACATGACTTTATACATTAATTTTGAATTTAACATTAATTTAATGTAGGGACATGGTAAATTTTCTTGACCTACAGTAGGACAAGACCCTGCCTATAGTTATGATTTACAGAAAAACTAAAGAAGCCTTATGTATAAGTTCAGATACAGAAAATTTTACCAAGCACTGAAAGTGCAGTATTTTTTCTTTTATCATGACTCTTAAAAATAAATTCCCCAAGGAAAGAGCCAGATTTGACAATTCTGAATAACAGAGGCTCAAATACTAGAACCTCCACAAACATCTTTTTTAGTATTTTCCACAGTGTAAGAATGTTGCCACAATTAGGAAACGGAATACAGAGATCCAGTTGTCTAGTAACAAATCATCAACAAATCACGAAAAATAAAATTGACATCAGTTTTCAAACTGTACTTGTTGATCTAACCCTCAAATCAGACTTGTTTGCAAATTTTCAGTGGCAATACCACAATGCCTTCTATTACTTTAAAAACCAGTGGATACATTATATTTCCAGTAATGAAAATATGAAGTACAAGTATAATCCAGGTCTACATTTCCTGGGTCCTTTTTTTTAACAGTTAGCTCATCCTATAACCAAAGAAGCACGGACTACATCCAAACTGTTCAAGGACACAAGCTTTTAGAACAAAAACTTTAAAAATAAATACCTGGATATTTTCTTTTAAAGGAAGTCACACCTAAATATTCACTGACTTGCTCCTGAAGCATATAGTATTCTCCTGTTTCATCAGGCGGCCATTTGTATTCTATCAAATTTTCAGCAGGAAAATAACTATACCTAAACATAAGAACAATGTTACAACAAATCACAACAATCCTTAATAATACTACTTACATCTCTAGAAATTCAGTAATTCCCATTTATAGGTCAATGAACAGTAACTACAAAGTTGGACAAGCACTTTAAAACACTGCATCCTGTTAACCCATTTCAAGTCACTTTGTTGTACCCAACCACACATATATTTCTCTAAATCTCCATTTATCAACATGCTAAGGGACAGAATCTGAAGACTCTTGATATCCATCATAATGGAGAGGACACCAGAAAAAGCAACTACTACAGAGTCAAAATTCATTCAAGTATGCAATGTCTTAAAAACACATAAACTGTGCTTCTGATTGTAACTTTTTGTGGCATTCTAAAATAAAATGCCTTAAAATATGCTGGGAGCAATAGACACCTAGCTACTTATATGACATCACCTCAATTTGTAAAGACATATGACAAATACACAAGTAATAAATAAAGAGCTAATACTTAAGCATGCTGAACAATAAGTCAGACTTACAATAAAAAGTAGGAATTATAAAAAACAGTATTACCCAAGGTCTTGACTGGAAGTTTCACAGCTCCGAGAACTGTCCCCTGAGCCCATACGCCGTCTCTTGGATGGCTGGCTGCCATCATTGGAATTTTCTTCTGTGTCATCCTGAAATGAAAATAAATATTAAAAAAATTAGACTACTCCAAAGATAATGTAAAACACCAAAAACATTGCAAGGCAATCCACAATTTAAATATACCTGAACTTCTAAGCCATTCTATGATGGTCTTAAACAATTCACAAAACAGTCCACATAACAAGTTATTCTTTGTTATAAACTATCTGCATGACATGTGGTAGGCCAGTAGGAGAACTGGGCAGCTTCTCACCTGTGGCACTGGCAGAGCTCTGAACAGACAGAGCTATAGCTCTGACCACCAAGTTCATAATTCCTGACGTAAACTACTTCTGGCACTTGACCAGACTAGCACTCCACACCAAAAGCAAGTGCAAAGCAAAAACCCCAACTCCTTGCTGACAGCTGATGCTTACAAAATCAGGGAAAATTATTACTGAAAAAAACACAGGAGTTTATGCGTATACAGTTAAAATAAAAGGACTATCATTGCAAGCAAGTAGCAAAGACCTGTGTCTTGAGATGAAAAAATATACAGAAGAAAAAACCCAACTTGGTATTACAACAGATACAAAAGAGAATTAGGTTCTTACAGGGGAACATTCAGACAGGTGTCATTATTCAGATTTCATGTGATCAATATAATGAAAGGGAATAAAGAATGAAGAGGAGGAAAAAAGACCAACGCAAAACAGAGTTCTGTAAAATCTAGAAGACAGTGACTCAGTTTATGTTGCATTTTTCACTGCTCTGTTGTCCCATAATGCTGTGCAACTCCTACCTGCATCATTAACAATCTCAAAGCATATAGTGACCAACCCTGTCTGATCATAACTGAGATACAGAAAGCAGAAATCTTTAGGTGAATTGCCTACAGTAACCAGTAGTTGAGTCAAGAACAAAACAGTTCTTCAAGTAATTGAATTTCTAAAGTGGAGCAGAGTGACAGAATTAATTTCTTAACTTCTGTGAAAAGTTTAAACAAGAGGAATTAACCTGTCAGAAATAAATGGCTCAAGCCCAACTATGCTTACTCATTTAAAAATTAAAACAATGATTATTAGGTCTACCTTTGCTAATGTCTTTCATCCAGGTTTTACTTAACATATGACTTGAAATATCAATTTAAAAATATTCCAGCAAACAAGAATACATTACTTTTACTAAGTAACATTTCACACTGTTATAATCAAGACAGGCCATAGATAAAAAGCATTTTTCTCTGGGAGTTTTGGCTTATTTCTTCTTTTCTTCAACTTTTTACAAGTATTTTAATTCTCTTTAAGGAGCAAGAACATCTTTCACACAGTAGTAAAAACTGAAAAGCAAATTTTAATGAAACTGTGTTTTCTTAGCCCAGCCATCCTCAAAAAAAAAGCAGTATGCAGCATCTCCACCACATTGCCAGTAATGTCACTTCTTAGTATTGCTGAGACTCTCCTGCGTGAACTCAGACAAATGAAGCAACAGCCCCAGTCAAAACAACATTGCATTATTTTGTGACACAGCTGTCTCATCAGTAGTTCATTTCTACTTCCCACAAGAATATTCATGCGCTCCAAATTTTTTAACTGCTAGACAAACACCTGAACAGGGCCAAAGCAACGCTCTGGTATACCAAAACTTCCAAGAGACTTCAAAATGTCATTAAAAGACAGACCTCAACCTGACAGTTTGGTGGAAGTGCCGGATATCAGTTTCTCATTTCACTTTGTAATTTTTCATTGATTATACCCACTACTGTTACAAAGTATGAGTATCCACAACAAAGAGATCTCTATTTCCATACTTCTTCCTTATTTGCTTAAAATTTCACGAAATTCAATGACAGTTGTTTGTTGCAGACGACTTAGTATATGAAGGGAAAACATCTGCCATCTAAAGGCACAATGCTGTTCAACCACCTTTACTGTTCAAAAACAGAAAAAAAGGGGATAGCTCTGTGGCTCTCTTTACATGAAAAGTCAAGTACTGTCCAAAAAAGCCCCTTTCTCCCTGAAAACGCATGTTTCTGTAAAAAGATTGTTAGTCCTTACAAAACATGGTGACGTTACAAACTTCTGGTAAGTCTGTCACTGTAAGATCGACGTAACATTGCTTTACTAAGCGATCGAGAAGCCTGAAATGCCCGAGACGTATTTCAAAGGGCGACTGCCAATCTGCGCTGGGAGTCTTTGGCGCCACAAGTGCCCGCGATGCCTGGGATGCGCGGGAGCAGCGGGCACGGCCAACGCGGAACTGTCCGCCGCCAGACCTAAACTTTCCCGGCAGCGGCGCTGCCGCCGTGAGGACTCAACGGCCGCGCCGCCCCCGGGAAGACGCAGAGGGACTTTTGGGAAGGAGGACGGCCCCGGGCACCCAGCCCCGGACCCGCGCTCAAAGTTCGGCCCAGGGCGCGGGAGGCCGCCCGCTGCCGCCCGGCTCCGCCAGCGGGCGCGAGGTGAGCCCGGGGCGGACGGGTCGGGTCGGGTCGGGTGCCGCTCGGGCGGCCGCGCGGCCCGGCCGCGAGCGCGGAGCCGAGCCGCCGCGGTAGCGCTTGGGCAGTAGCGCGGGACGGAGGGGCAGCATCCCCCCGGCAGGGTGGTCAGCGCCGAGCGCGGGAGCTGGCACCCTGCAGGGCCGGGCTGCTCCGCTCCGCCGGCAGGCTCCCGTCTCCGGGAACGTCAGCCGGGGACGAGCTACGTTTGTGAACCATCAGCCCCCGCAGGAGGGGGGTTCGGGGGGCGGGGGGCGCACTCGGAGGAGCCGCCACGAACGCGCTCGCCCCTGCGGCGGCGGGAGGGCGCGTGCGGCCGCTCCCCGCCGCTGCGCGGTCGCGCCGAGCCCG